TATATGTGTGTGTGTGTGTGTGTGAACTTATTAATATTTATCCAATAAATATTTTCGCACATAAATTGATTTATCATATTATCTATTTGAAATATTGAAAAAAGTTGTGTTATTTGGTTTGTTAATTTTGAACATCACTTTGGTTACGTTATTATTCATTATTGATTATTCTGTATTGTTGTAAATCCTGTATTGTTGTAAATTTTCATATTTTTATTGTTATACAAGAAAAAAATTAAAATTGAAATATTTTCTTCAAATTTAATTATGTATTTATAATGCTTTGGTTAAATATGCTAATATAATAATTAAGTTTTAAAATTTAATACTCATTATATGTGGATAGTATTTTCTTTATGTATATGTCAAACTATTATACTTTAAACTTTTGTTAAGCATAAGAGATAATCTTAGGTTTTCAATATTTAATATAAAAATTAATCTAATGTTAATTAATTTTGTGTTAAATCTTTGACGGTCTTATTTCATAATTTGAAAACATTACAAATTTCGCAAAATATTATAGAACAAGACATAATTTCGAAACACTAATCATATAATAATATTTTCCCAAATGACTCACAATAGTAAATTTTTATTTGAAATATGTAATTATTGATCAAATTTAGATTAATTCAATTGAACCAATAAAAAATAGGAGAATATTGTTAAAAGTTTATACAATTTGATCAATAAAAGGTGATAGATGTTATTGTTATGTTTTGTTCTAAGATCTATTATTTATGTTTATTTTTGAATGGAGAAAATTTACATGTTTAGAAAAATACATATTTTTAGTCATTGACTAGATATACAATTTTTTTTTTAAGAAATGAATGTAAAAAAACACTACATACAACATAAATACAATTAAGATGATAACCAATGTAGTATATCTCAATTTCTACATTGAGTGTGAAAATAACAAGTAAAAAGTGATATTCTAAATTAGTTTTGTAAAATTAGTTGATATAAAAAAAATGACATTAATTGTATATGAATTTTGTGGTTTAAGATAGGTGAGATGGAAACTATATACACTCTATTGAATTGACGAAGTAGAGTCTCACTTATTTCACAGGTTAAAAATCAATGTTACAATTCTCAATTTTGTAGGTTGATAATATTTACATTAGTTCATCATTTCCTTTAAAGTATAAAAAATATAATGTAAGATATGTTATTATAATTGTGATAATTTTTTATAATAGAAATATAATTTAAAAAAAGTGTGAACTATTTTGAAATATTAATAGGATTTGTTATACGATGTGATGATGTAATTACAAAAGTAGTAAAGTGAATGATATTGAATGGATGATAGATTTGAGTAGGTTTTATATTGGTGTAGAGAAGTGTACAATGTATGGATAGATAGGTTTGCATGGCTAGATTTCGTTGGTAGAAGAATGTATTTTGATTATATAAAATAAAAAGAAGATGAGAGTGATTTAGGTTATAATAATGATGAGAAAGAAAGAAGAGGAAAGGTGAAAGTGGGTGATGGGAAGTGAAATAGGTCGATGGCACTGATAATTCCCAAAGCTCACATAAAGTCAATTATAATTTTAGACTTTCTACAGCCTGGTTAATTACTACCTATAACTAGCCTTCACTTTCATTTCTACTCTATTCTTCTATTGCTTCCAAATTCCCTTCTTTATCACCACTTGCTTAAACAAAAACAAGAGAATCAATTAATTACTCGCTAACAACTCACCTAGCTAAAGCTGTCTAATTAAACACTCTCTTTTCACCTTCCTCTCTCATTCACACCTTCTTTTTAAATTCCATTTAAGTTTTTAATTAACATTTATTCTTATTCAATTTCTTTTAATTTTAAATATTTTTTTTTATTTTTTTTTTGTTCAAATTGAAAATAACAACACTCCCTCACTTCCCATTTCTCTTCTGTTCTCTCTTTGCTTCTGTGTTCTCTATCATTCCCACTCTTTTTTCCCAAACAGCACAAAAAGAGAAAACAAAAGCGAAATAAGAGAGAGAGAGAGAAAGATTGGATTCTTGAGAGAGAGACTCACCGCCGGCGACACTTCTCACTGAAGTAATAATGCACAGGCAACTCTCCTTCTCAGCACGCGCCACCGCAGAAATGCACTGATTCAGGAGCTGTTGCAGTGAACGAGAAAGCCACACAGTCGCGTCACCGCAGAGTTAGAAGAGAATGCGCGAAGCCCTCGCGTGTGACGTCGCCGGTGCGGTGTCGTCTCCGGCACCACCGGTGGTTGTGACGGGACGGAGCCGTTCGCAGGGATTTCCGCGGCGAGTGACGCCCGCGACGCTGCCTCTGGCGCCGTTGTCTGGATCGGCTGTTGAGCGTGTTCTTCCTAACGGCGACTTCTACGCCGGGAGCTTCTCCGGCAACGTGCCTCACGGATCGGGTAAGTACCTGTGGACGGACGGGTGCATGTACGAGGGTGAGTGGAAGCGGGGAAAGGCCTCCGGCAAGGGGAAATTCTCGTGGCCCTCGGGCGCGACCTATGAGGGCCAGTTCAAATCGGGTCGAATGGAAGGGTTTGGAACCTTCGTCGGATCCGACGGCGACACTTACCGCGGGTCGTGGATCTCCGACCGGAAACACGGGTTTGGGCAGAAGCGCTACGCTAACGGGGACTTATACGAAGGGTGTTGGAAGCGCAACGTGCAGGACGGTCACGGACGTTACGTCTGGAAGAACGGGAACGAGTACGTCGGGGAATGGAAGAACGGCGTGATTAACGGCAAGGGTGCTCTGGTGTGGGCCAACGGGAACCGTTACGAGGGGCAGTGGGAGAACGGGGTCCCCAAGGGTCACGGCGTTATGAAGATTCAGCATCGTTTGCTCTGGGGCGAGAATTTCAGCGTGAAGCGTTTCTCTGTTGACGGAAGAGGGAGCGTAAATAATGACAAGAGTTTCCCCAGGATTTGCATCTGGGAGTCGGAGGGTGAAGCGGGAGACATCACGTGCGATATTATCGATAATGTGGAAGCGTCCATGTTTTACCGCGACGGAACGACGTCGGATTCTGAAGATTTGAGAAAGAACCCTTGTTGTTTCGCCAGCGAAGTGAAGAGACCCGGGGAAACAATTTCGAAAGGTCATAAGAATTATGACTTGATGCTTAATCTGCAATTGGGGATAAGGTGACAGAAGCGCTTCGGCTCTTTTTGTTTCATGTATTACTGCGAATTTGCCATTTTTTTTTTGTGTTTAACATTAAATTTAATCAGGTACTCTGTTGGGAAGGAGGGTTCCACTTTGCGGGAGCTTAAGCAGAGTGATTTTGATCCGAAGGAGAAGTTCTGGACTAGGTTTCCCTCCGAGGGGTCCAAGATTACGCCGCCGCATCAGTCCGCCGAGTTTCGATGGAAGGATTACTGTCCGGTGGTTTTTGGGTGTGTAGAATCTTTGGAGGGTGTGGTGTGTGTTGCGTGTTTTGGGGTGTTTCTGCTTTTAGTTGACTGAGTTTCCGTTTGGATTTTGTAGGCATTTGAGACAGCTGTTTCAGGTCGATCCTGCTGATTACATGTTGGCTATATGTGGGGATGATGCTCTTCGGGAGCTTTCTTCTCCTGGGAAAAGTGGAAGCATCTTCTACTTGACCCAGGATGATAGATTCATGATAAAGACGGTGAAGAAATCTGAAGTCAAGGTTAGATACATGCGTTCTAAAGCTTGTAGTGTTTTGTCTTGTTAAATTCTGTAATGAAATTTTGAGTGTGAATCTCCCCATGGCCAAATGGATATGTTTCTTTGTTTTTCCTCCTTCGGGGTATATGGGTGGTAGTGTTTTTTGTGAGTCAGTCAACTTGGGGTTTTGGGGAAGGGTGACCTGTTTTATTGGTTTGGTCATTGATGTTTTATGATTGAACATGAATTCTTACCTTTAATTATACTGGGAATCTTTTGCTTGGTACTTGCATAGACTGATGCTTGATTCCGGTGTTCAACTTTTAGGTGCTTCTTCGGATGCTTCGAAGTTATTATCAACATGTTTCTCGATATGAGAATTCACTTGTGACAAAATTCTATGGGGTGCACTGTGTTAAGCCAATTGGAGGCCAGAAGGTATAGATTGGTAGTTGTGTTCTAGCTGTCTGGAGGGGTTACCCCATCTTCAGTACTTGACTTTTTATTGTTTGTTGAAAATCAGATCCGGTTCATTGTGATGGGCAATCTTTTTTGTTCCGAATATCCAATTCATAGACGATTTGACTTGAAAGGATCTTCACATGGGCGCACCACAGATAAACCCGAGGAGGACATTGATGAAACGACCACCCTCAAAGACCTTGATCTCAACTTTGCGTTTCGTGTACAAAGAAATTGGTTTCAGGAACTCATCAAGTAAGTTACTGTGCTTGTTTGTCCTATTCTATGTATATATATACACTTTTAGGGGCTTGAACAAGATAAATATGTGCTGACGTAGTCCTCTCATTGTGTTCAGACAAATTGAGCTGGACTGTGAGTTCTTGGAAGCCGAGAAAATTATGGATTACAGTCTTCTAGTTGGCATTCATTTTCGTGATGATAATACGTGTGACAAAATGGGGCTTTCACCTTTTCTCCTGCGCACTGGTATCTATCCTTCCTCCACTTGATTGCATATATACAAGACTTGTGTGTTACAAAAATTTTAAATTCATTTGTTTTCCCCATTCAGGCAATAGGGATACTTATCAGAATGAAAAGTTCATGCGTGGTTATCGCTTTCTTGAAGCAGAGCTACAAGATAGAGATAGAGTTAAATCTGGAAGGTAAGGTGTACTATGTTCTAGTTCCTTACTATTAATGTGGATGGTTTTTTTTCAGTTTTTAATTTATAAGAAGTTTGCATTGTTATAAAATCTGCTTCCATTGTTAAATTGGATTGGCATGTTCCCGTAATCATTTAGAATATAGCTATGCTGAAATGAGGATTGTTTCTTTCGGAGATGTATTGGTGCTTGGGAAAATTTGGTCCTACTGCTATCGAGTGAAAACAATTGATAGATATGTATCATGTTACCACTTGAAAGCATCACAAACTAAGATGTTTGTGACCTGTACGCCCTTGCAAGTTGCAATCTTAGGTTATAACTCTGTTCGCATTAATGTTTTATAATTTCTTCTTTTTAATTGATATTTTTCATGATAATAATTGAAAGTAGTTTGCATTATTTTAGCAAGTCAGTGGGCATATAGTATTGCAGGCAATTGTTGTTAGTGGGGCTCATGTAGGCTGTGGTCCCAATTCATTAATTGAAATTGGTATTTCTAATTTATTTTTTGGCCTTACAATAGATTCATCGAGTCAATTATGATCGTTTCAATACTTTCTCTGGATTCATGATTTTTCTGTATCCATCCTATTAGCTTATTCGAGCAGAAACGTAATTCCGACCTCTACATGCTCAATGATTTAGTAAATTTCGAGTTTTTATGTACTATTTTGTTACTTTCCTAGACCATTCAAGGTTGTTGGCTTTTATGTGAGTGCATACTTTTTATGGTGTATATTCAGTAGGATTCTTGTTTCAGGAAATCATTGATTAGGCTAGGAGCCAATATGCCTGCAAGAGCTGAGCGAGTGGCACGGAGGAGTGACTTCGATCAATACACCACTGTTGGAATCAGCCATTTGACCCCTTATCGGAGCGGGGAGACTTACGATGTGATTCTATATTTTGGGATTATTGACATTTTGCAAGATTATGATATCAGCAAGAAGCTTGAGCATGCTTACAAGTCATTGCAAGTTGACCCTTCTTCAATTTCTGCTGTTGATCCAAAGCTGTACTCCAAGAGGTTTCGTGATTTTGTAGGTAGAATTTTCATCGAAGAGAGGTAGCAGATTGATGGACATGGAATGAGACACAAATATTTCTTCCTTAAGGTGAAGAAGATTTCTGGTTGTTATGGTTCATAGCAATCAGGAAAAAATGCTTCAGATTTGAAACCCATTGCAATGATCTTGGAGTTGACTGGTTAAAATGCCACTCTACGGTCAAGTGGCCTACAGAAGGTCGCGGTAGTTGGGGTTGTTTGTGGCTTAGTTTTAAAAATAGAGCCATGGTGATGGTACGGTGAAGGACGGGAAAACTTGTACATGAAGAAGGGGATGAATTATCATTTTGTTTATTGCTTTGGTTCAAGAAATGGGGTTGGGCTTGTTGAATTTTTTGTGGTTACTGCATAGAATATGAATATATATGATGGAGAGATAAGAAAGAGGGAAGGGCGTGGAGTGTTTCCCTGATGTTCGATTCAAAATGCGTGGATAAGTAGGAAATAAGGAAAATGTACAGTGTTTATACAAAGGATGGATAGTTGAAGGAAATTATTAATTTAATTTTGTATTTTGATCATTGTTCTTGAATTATTGATCGACACTTGAAAGCGTGTAATGTTGTGAGAGTGAGATGTAGTGTCGTTGGGTTATCTTCCACACAGCAAAGTCTCTTATCTGATGAAAGGAACATAAATAAGTGGGGCTTCATTGCGGGGTTGAAGAAAAATGAAAACTGGGGTCGTTGGGTTAGCTTTTGCAGTGAAAGCGAGGGCGTTTGGCTTCAAAGTGTGTTGAGGGCATCAAAAGCAGAGAAAGGAAGAGAGAGAGAGAGGGCTGAGAGATGCGCTGGTTTCTCTCATGCTTTTCACTGTTTATGTGCCTCTCTCATTCTAGTTATTTTTATATCTTAATCTAGTAAAAAATTGACCAAAGTTTTTTAATCGTTTGGGTTTGCGAGAAAGAAACCAAACGTACCTGTATCAGTAATCACATCACGTGGTGGAACCTGCTCTGATTGCTCCATTAAATCTATCTCGGTAACAAGTAAAATTGTTATTATGTCCTGTGATTGAAGACATTATACATACTGTTATTTATTATATCACTAAGCAGTATCAGTAACAGCAACTGCAAGCAGTGCTTCTGCTCTGTTGTGTTTTGACCCTTATTCTCTCCTTTGAAAGGATTTTAGTGTAATGTCTGCTGGGTCAGTGTGGGTGGGTGGCCCCATTGCCATTTGTTTCTCTTTTCAGGAAGCTAATCAGCATTATGGATTTCAAGCGTGTCTTCCACGTCCTTTCATTCCACTCTCTTTTTTCAAACAAACCTTCCTCCTACACCTAATTCTATTTAAATGCGTTAATTCAGTGTTGTTGCACAACAGTAAACTCTATTCATCAGATACTTAACCCATTAAAAATATGTAGAAGAAGAATGTTACTATTTCTGACAGCAGTCTGAGAGGTCATTAAGTTTGGTACTGATAAATTACAAGAATTGAAAAGTGAGTGTAAAATTTGGTGGTGGTGGAGGGAATGGGAGCTGGATCCCACGTTCCCAATTTTAAAACAGCAGTGATGCAAACAAACAGGGATTAGGCAAAAACATTAAGTAACCGTACAACAACAATTCCGGAACTGGTTTCTCAACGTGTCTCCATATGTTGTTTGAATCAGCTTTCCTTGTACTTTTCCATCACCCCGCTTTTTCCACGTGCATTTCAACCCATACACCAAATGCATTTCACTGTAACTCTTGTTAAATTAATCCCTATTCATCTCGGTTTCTGCTCAAATAGATTTCCTTACAAACAAAATCCTCTCTCCAATCTCTAATCATGCCTCTCTTAACCATTTTTTACTAAACTCCCAACTTCCATAACCTCATTTCTATATATATATATTCCAATTTCAAACTAAACAATACTTTAATAGGGTAAGTTCAACATATTCAAGGAATTTGCAGTGATCGGAAGCACGTATATTATATAAACTATTTAATTCCCCTGGCTGGCTACCAATGGCATGTGTTAAACTTACATTACATCTCATTTTGCAGGCTGTGACATATTGCGATTAGTTTAATGTATGTTATTATAATCTTTAAAATGGGATTTGCAATCTGGTTCCGTACATTTTGAAAACTTTTTGATCGAGTCAACACGAGTTATTCAAATCCAATGGAAAGTCGACATTGGAGACTGCACCACAAACAACCCAGGTGTAAAATAATCTATTCATTCAATTGAAACCATCGCCATGGGAATGCCGAATGCATTTAAATTAATAAATAAATCAATTTAACTCAACCAAATCCCTAACATCTCTACTCAATTGCCTCATCATGCCGGATCTCTCTGTCTCGATTCCAAGAATAATAAGAAAATACCATTCAAGAACACCCAATCAAACTAAGAACCTTTGCCACACATGTATACATGTAAACTAAGACTTAGGCATATGTAAAACATATTAATCAACCAAGAAAATATTGCTATAAATTAATTTCTCATTTTCCTTGTAATATATTCAACTGTTTTTTCTTTTTGAACATAAAACAAAAATAAATTTATAATTATATACTAATACAGACTTTATTTAAAAACTAGTTTTAGAAAGATGAATTATATATAGAATTCTCTTAATAAAATTATATTGAATAGAAAAATATCAGTGCAAATTTAGATGTATAAAATGTAATAAACTAATCTGAGTTGGCAAAAAATTTGCAGAATAGAAGAGCTGTAAAGTAAGGTGTAACAAGAGTAAGAGGGGTGGCACATGGGACAGACACTGCGGCTACTACTTTATCTACCTAGGTTGTGGTAGTAGATACATATGTCTTTGAATCCCCAAAGGGAAATTTTCAAACCATTTTAAATTGACGAACAGTTACAGAAATCATGAAAGAACATGGTCAATTGTGAAGTGTGAAGAAAAAGTGGAAAAAAAAAAATATCCCATAAAGAATGAAAAGAACATAGTCAAATAGTTGGATAGTAACACAATGTACCATATGGTCCAGGTTGTGTTGTCGCTTTGGTGTGGCTTGTGTCGATACAACCTAAATATATACATAAGCTAAATATAGTTGCACTGTGTTTGTTTGTATGCGTGTGTCGCAGAACATTTTCACACGCCGATTCTCGATTCAGACTCAGACAGAACAACCATTTTCAAGCAAGCTTAGCGTGGCAAGAATGAAAGTAACACACTTCTTTGCACCAACCTTCTTCTTTTACCGATACATTTATAATATCAAAGTTCTACTCTCTTTTTTATCATATTAAAATTTATATTTTATTTATCTCAAGAGGTTTTTTTAGTCGTAATTGTTTCCCTATGAAGTATTTTATGTTTACTAAAAAAAACTTTCTCGTAGTTTTAATATTAAATAATCACGTAGAAGCTTATTTTATTATTAGATTAAATATGGTTAAATGGTGTGTGAATGTGTTTATTTTCTGCATTACATAATTTATATTATTCATTTTACTATTTTAGCGTTACATTTTAAGATATTAATAATCAAACAATATAACAGTATCAATCCGTATTACATTTAAAAATATATAATAATTTTACCGTACTAATCAACATAATGTCAACTATATATATATATATATACCAAACGATACTAACTAACATAATGAAGGTACGTTAATGCAGTTATGTTTATTTTAAGGTTGGTTGAGAATATGGAATAAAAAAATTAAATAATCGAAACTTGGAATTCAACTAAAATAATTGGCATTTAAATAGAAAGTATAAAATTTGAAACAGTTGTTATGTCAATACTGAATTAAAAATATCAAAATCAAATATATCTTTTCTTAATTAGTTTTATTATTGCAACAAAAACGTATAAATAGATAATAATATCAAGGAAAATATTTACTAAATACTTAATTATTTTTTATACTTTTCATGTTTTTTATTAACTATTCTTCATAATTTTCATGTTTGTACTAACTTAAGTATTAGAAATTTTTATCAAAGATAACTTCATCTTTCAATAGAAAATTTAAAGTCAAAAATTATTTTGAGAAGATCATTAAGTTTATAAAAAGAGACTTAACTCTTTGACAACTTCGATAAGTGACTCTTTCTTCCATTAAGAATATTTGACGTAGTATTGAGTAAAACATTTTTCTTAACCACTCCTTTTATCATTCTTACTAGAAGCCACATTATCATCTTATCTTCCTTTAACATTAAGATGGTTCCTTCATTAGTGAGTTCCTTAAAGACACACATTGAAAGTATGATCCAAAAGATTGAGGAAACCATTCAAAAAAAAATTGCTAACATGCACCAACAATAAAGGGAAGAAAATCACAAAGTACATGTATAAGTGTAGGTGCAACTCATTAAAAACTTGAAACTTATTCAACAAAATCAATCAAACTACAAGGTCTTCGAGATAAACTAAGTTTATTGTTCTTGATCATCAAACACAAAATAATGAGAATGATCAATAGAGCAAAGCTTCTCGACCATTTGAACAAGTCGTGGAATCAAGGGAGATACTCAAACATAAAGACAAAATGTTGAAGCTCATATGCAATAGCATAACATAGAAGTAAGCTTTAAAAGTAGAGCATGGAAGTGGGCTCCCAAAGGTAGAGCACACAAGCGTACTAAGAAAATCTAAATGTTCATCCCAAGGAAGAACATGTAGATAAGTTGCAAAGACAGAACGTCGAGTACTCCTAGTTCATCCAAAGGCAGGATTGGTTTAAGGTTATCCCAACCCTTTAGTTGGCAATTTTACAAAGAAAAGTCTGGAAGAGTTCCTCCCATTTGAACTAGAGGTGATCATCATCATCCTTCCACCTAAGTGGAAGTGTTCCAATATTAAGAGGCATGATAAATCATTTTACTTGAATGCATATTCGAAGATTTAAATGACATAGGCCAATATAGTTTCCAATTATATGGTTATTACATTGAAGAACTCTCCTACCATGTTTAGGATCAATTCTTAATGTTCATTTCTCATGAATTTGATAGATTCATTTCCAACATTTTCTACTAGGTTGACGTCACTATATATAGTCATTCGACTAATGATGACCAACTCAATAGTTCTCAATAACAAAAAGTAAAGGGAAAAGGAGTCACTTTAACCATATATGAATAATTTCACCAAGGCATCACTCTTTTCCCCTGATCTACGTTAATTTGTAACCATGCACACAATGCTTATTAACTTGTATAATGAAGAAAACCTTGAAATGAAGAAGTAATTGTGAAAGAATTTGTCAATATTGTCCTCCTCTAATGTTGCTTCATCACTTTTACCAAATTAAAAACAACAACACGCTAGCCAAGTAATAATCATATAGGGAGCCTTCAATCTCTAGTTTTTACCTATACCACATTCTTGAAAAAGTGATCCACATATTAGATGCAAATACTATTGGATAAACTTAAATATAAGAGATTTATTAGTAATTTCATGAGTCATAATTTATTTGGTACATGATTACTATGTTACCAATTTTAATTATTGTCGCAATTTGCTTTAATTGATTTTGTCATTATGATTTGATTTTTTCATTATTATTGATTTTATGCTCTTAAAACTTTAGGGTTATTGTACTTATTTCTATTCCTGCGGCTATTTAATTAGGAACAAAATCATTAAGTTGTGTAGGTTCAACGCAACCCCCAAGAGGTCAGAGAGATCATCAAAACTATTATTGGTGGATTTGTCAACAATGGAAGTTTGAGTTTCGGTAGAAAGATACACCTTTGAAGCATAACATGATTGGTCTCTTCTCACCTATATCACTCCAAAATACCACATGTTTAGATGATGACTTTTACAATAACAATTCAACATAAGATGATTTAATCATTGTTATTGTCACCATCCCTAACTAGTAAGTTAGAATTTTCATTTGATGCTCTTCTAGTTGTCCAACGGCCTAAA